ATTATTTTTTTTAAAGAGAAGATAAAACAGTATCATTTTTTAAAGATACTGTTATAACGTTTCGTTTTCCTTTTCACATGTGAATGGGACGTTAATTTACCTTGGACGAATATCTACATTAGATTCCCTCCCAGTGTCTATTCTACAGGACTTCAACACAACTCAGATCAAGAGCATGTGATTAGCCTGACTAGAAGGTGAATATATTTCCACACCAAATCCTGACACAATCCAACAACAATAAACAACCAATCAATAATAAGAAATAATAAAGACACCTGTCAGATTATCTACATGTTTGACTAAGCAGACAACCAATCCTTATCATTCTCATCCACACATCAGATACCCTTCTTTTTTAAATAACAAGCAATAATTTTATATTACATATAGCCTTGACAGTTTTTAAATAATGTAATTAAAACAAATAAACATAACAGTTAACTATGCAAGTTCTTTATCAATCTAACATACAATGATAAATATTTTGTGCGAAATAGTTGAAATCAGTTGAAAAGAAGCCTCTGATCTGTTTTCATCCTGATTAGAGTTCATTGATAGGTCATATTCGAAATCTTTAGAAACACAATAGCCTTTCCAGGGATTTGAAACGGCATTAACTAGTTCTTCAGTCACAGATATTGTCGCTGAATGAAATACCGTAAGACTGATATCTTAATATCAAAACTGCTCAGATATAACAGAACCATATCTATATACTTATACTTTATACATTGTGAAGTTAGATTGTCATGAATTCATTCACACCGAATTTTTTCAATAATATTTTGTGAGCTTTAAAACAGTAGCAGAAGCCTCTATGTCAGTGGGTCTCAACATACATAAAGGAAAAAGCAAAATCTTCAAATACAACACGGAGAACACCACCCAATCACGTTTTATGGAGAAGCTCCGGAAAATATGGGGTTTTTCACGTACCTGGAAAGCATCATCGATCAACAAAGAGGATCAGATGCAGACGTAAAGGTGAGGATTGGCAAAGAAAAGACAACATCCCTACAACTGAAGAACATATGGAACTCAAAACAACTGTCAATCAATATCAAAGTGAGAATCTTCAATACGAACGTCAAGACAGTATTACTGTATGGAGTTGAAACGTGAAGAACTACTACGACCACCATCAAAAAAGTACAAGTATTTATAGACAGTTGTCTACGCAAGATATTCAATATTCGTTGACCGGATACTATGAGCAACAGCTTATTGCAAGAGAGAACAAACCAGCTTCCGTCTGAAGAGGAAACTAGGAAAAGACGTTAGCAGTGGATAGGACATACATTACGGAAATCATCAAACTGCATCACGAGACAAGCTCTAAGTCTGAATCCTAAAGGTGGACAGAAAATAGGAAGGTCAAATAACTCACCGAGTAGAGAAATGGAAGCAGACATGAAAAGGATGAATAGCAACTGGAAACAAAGGGAAAGAATCATCCAGGAAAGGGTTGGATGGAGAGTGCTGGTGGGCGAGCTATGGTTCTCGACGAGGAGTAACAGGCATAAGTAAGTTCACAATAATAACTTAACTGTGTACCATTTTTTATTCAAAAGTCAGAATGAAGTAAATATGATATTCTTCGCTTTATATAATTCAGTATACACAGTATTCAGATGTATCCTTGATCCATTTTTCTCTTATTTATATGAGTTCTGCTTGAATAAACATGATCGGTTAATTGTGTATCTGGATGACTTAAGAAATCTATTGAGTAGTAATTATGTATCATGTTGTCTCTTACAAATACGAGGATATTAAAATAGCAAGAGGTTTAGGTTCTTGTTTTCTTTTTTAGTCAATTTACTAAATCTGGAAATGAATTTATCAATTAATAATTTTTCTAATAATTGAATTCATTAGTCGATTAAAGCTAGACCATCATGGAAAACCTGGAGACACTGGATGGCCTTTTCATCCTATTGTGAGGCTCCTCACTAGTGTGCATCCACGAACCCGCTACTACTGATTTTCCTTAGCCATGTGGAGTAGTTTCGTGAAAAGTACAAATACTGTGCGTGATAAAACTGTCAATGTTTGTGAAGAGACAAAAGTTTTTAATTAACTGAGAAATGAATTGGCAGTAGTAGTATAAATACACCACAGTTCACGGGTATCGTTTTATTTTTAACATCAACCATTAGTGAGACATTATCACTGGACGACTATCTTATATAAAAAAATTAATACGTTGTTGTTATGTCCTAAAGAAGAATTAAATGAATGGTAACTGCTGGGAATTATATATAGACCATTATTACATATATTCTTAATGTATAACTGTAAAGTAATTAGACTACATATAATTATATTTCTCGTGATATAAACTTCCATTTGACCTATGGACTATTATTACACGATTTACTACTCTTAAGTTATTTCCAATCTGTTAGTGACGGCACCTCATAATCCCAGCCACTTTTTGGCCTGATCTTGTATAATTGTTATTCGCTATTTTATGGTATAATGTAGTCTGATTTGCTTGTATACTAAAGCACGTTAGTTTGAAATACATGATTTATATAGTGAAAGGTGAGATTGTGTTCTGGACTCAGACGGACAGGGTAAGGCGAGAAGAGCCAACAATGACTCAGAGTTGACTCCAGGTTGTTCGTACTGGTTAACGCATCATTGGTTTGGAACAGTGCCAAGGTCATATAAGTCGTGTTCTACTTGGCAATTTAGTCACGTTATAATTAACCGGATAAAAGTCATGACAGTTGTAAAGTTGAATTCGTTTTATTTACATCGTTTTTATAGCACTTCAAATAGTGACAAGTCAACCACTTAAAATATGAGCTTTGTTACACAGGTACCTGATGTTGGTGAATTTGTTGCTTGTCTTTAGTTGCCAAGAGTTATATTTTTTGTAACTTAGGCATTTTGCTTGTGAATTTCATAGACTTAAAAATGCAAAACTTCGTAGAGGTTATAGATGTACACTGTTTAGGAGTGTAGACAAGTTAAGTAAGCTCACGTCATAGACTTGTAACTCTGAGGTTTCAATTTAATTTGTACGGATTTGGGTTATCCATTTGTTGATATTCTTGGTTGAATTTCGATCAGTCTTTGTTGACATATTTTTGGGATGACCCTGCATTTTTCTCGCAAGCGACATAACAAGCTCAGGGGTCATCAAGGAGCATTTCAACCAATCAGCGATTAATTAGAAATTACGTTAAGTTATGTTACTAAAATAACGAAAATGGAAAAGTCACATGTGGAGATCCTGATTGACTGATTTATACACTGCTACAATATTTAGCAGTATTCTAGAAGTTTCAGTAAAAACTCAAGGACTCTTAAATTACTATAAAATCCCTATATTTTCTGTACATGAATGAACCCTGTAGTAAAGTGCTTCCCACACACTTTGTGCCCTTTCTCTGGTCTTCAAGTCGCGGTGTATAGTTCTAGCTCGGGGGTACGGAACTAGCTTAGGGAAGCGAATATAGCGTTCACAATCGGCCAGACGTAACAATTATATTTCGAGAAACTGATAAATTCGATGTTTTTTGGTCAGTGTCTTTTTTACGACACCAACCAGGAATGCAGGTAAATCCAACCGACGAGTACTTCGTGGGAGGAAAAGTCAGTTCACTGTTCCACTTTTGGTCACAGTTCTACTTGTCCATAAGAGACCCGTTAACGTTATTTGAACGACTACATATTCATGAAAAGACGTTGCCACAAATATGATAATATTTTGTAGTGACGTTCAACATGATTCAATGTCTTATGCTGATCAATCATTCATAACTACAGAGTTATAGTAGCAGTTAATAGACAACTGAGAATATTCTACCTGGAACTAGATCATCAAAATAACAATGACTAGTAGAAACTCACCAAACTGCTGGTTACTTGTATTGTTATAAATTTCCAGCTGTCTGAGAAAAGCAGTGAGTTTTAATTTTACAATACTTTGTCTGGATGAATATACAGTCTGTACTGTGTGCACTTAAGGAAGAAGTATCCATTTTTATTAACCTATCTAATTAAAGTATTAAACTGGGTAATCATTATTGAATGTTAGTTTCTATATAGATTCGATAAAATGAGGTAGCTAATTTTTAAACCATAACTTCATCGTTCTAATCTAATCTAGTTTTTCCATTAAGTGGATTGAAGTTACAAAGACCTATAAAGTTATGAAAGTTTAGTTAAAACGGTTATTGTTAACAGAATCACTTTATTTATAGTTTATTAGAAGTTAACTTGATTAAAGAGCATCGTAACTTCAACAATAGAAAGATATAATTGACAAACTCATCTTTAGATGATTATATGTATGGTTAATGAATGAGCTATAAGAGAGGCAAGAATTAGATTCACAGATATAAGTAACTGATTGTAAATATTGTATTTATACTTCTATTTTGTCACTTGGCAGCATAAACTATGGTTTACATTATACAGTTACCTCTTGTACAAAAAACAAATCAAAATATATTGATTCTTTTGTGTTTGTGCAAAATCATTTTTACTACTCAGTCTTATTCAAATACAGGTGAAGGTTTTTTTTCATCGATTTTAATTATAAAATAGAATAAACGTGTGAACAAACAAGTTCTACAATATGGATTATAAAACACATCAGTTGTCGTCTTCTTGCCAGTGGGACTTCACATGTTGAGGCATAATAAGTAAAATTAATTCACTGATTTAGTTGCCTTGGAATTACCAATATATTTAACTGACACGTGGCTTAAGTTTAACATCTTATTGTATTCCTTCTACTTGACAACTGATAAATTTTGACCATAAATTGTGCTTAAATTAGTTTGAGAGAACAGAAAACTCTTAAAAAAGAGGTTAAGCGCTCGCACGTGAGACTGATAGGTCCCAGGTTCGAATCCCACGAGGATGGATTGTGGATGTGCACTGCTGAGAACGAAATGGCCGTCCAGTGCCTCCAGGTTTCCCATGATGGTCTAGCTTCAATTGACTCATGATCTCAACTATTAAAATTACTATAGTATCCCCAAAACCCCCTTCTGATCTTAAAGAAGAAACAAATTTTTGATTTTTCAATGAAAATAGTTAATTCTATTTGAAATTAAAGTGTACATATATTTTACCATATAACTGAATCCACATAAACGTATACACAATTACATTCAATTTATTATTTAATAGTATCCATCATACAGATATATTATCTACCTTATTATAAATATGATCTAACAAACTACTATTATTATAGTTGAGATCTAAACCAAACTTGCTCAAATCAATTAATTCATCATTGCTATCCATTTCATTACTATTACCATAATCATCATCATTATCATTATCATCAATATTAGTTCCATCTCTTGTATTATTATTATTAACCGATAATGATTCAGCAAAACGTGTAAATAATTCATCTAAATATTTTGCTCTTTTTTGTTTATTTGACCAAGAATTTTGTTCATCAGCTGTAGTCATGTTGATTGGTAGCAAATGTTTAATTCGATCATTTACATTTGAATGAATGATACTTGGATATTTTATTTGTTTTCTTATAGTGAATAATTTAAATTCTTTAAATGTATCTAATTTAACAATAATTAATCGTCCATTATAACCTAATTGAATCTTAATTGATGGTAATTCTGATAATTCTAACGAAGTAGGTTTAACTTCATCAATTGGTGTCAATAATGCTCTACCAATAACTGGATAATTATTATGAATTTGATTATTATGTATGATAACAAGCCATGCATTATAATATTCTAATGAGTATATAACACTTACAATATATAATTTATCTGGTGTAAATTGAGCACATAATACTATAGGATCATTTTGTGTACCAGGTATTAAATTTGATGAGTTCAATAAAGCCAATATATTACCATTTTGAAAGTTGATTAATCTTAAATTAGCATCTATCCCATAAGCACCATCTGAAGAAACATCAATTAGTTTATCTACTAATGACATTTGATTAATAATTAATTCATTAGTTTGTTTATATTTTAAATCTAACACTATTATATTTAATGTTGAATTTTCTTGTTCTAACCATATATATTGTATAATCACTTTAGTTGGTTGTGTTTCACATGTAAATAAACGTTGAACACTAGGTGTACGACAATAATCATCATGTTCTTTTAATAATTTATGTAAATTTACTTCATATATTAATTTTTTAAAATCTGGTGCTTCTAACATTCGAATCCATTGTCCATATTCACCACAACATAATATCAAATATTGATCATTAAATATAATTTTTGTACCTTTGATAACTGGATGTTGTAAAAATGTATATCCTAAAAATCGTCCATTTGTAGATCCATAACGTGATAATAAAGCTTGAGGTTTCACATCAATTATATTCATTGAATTTTTATTTTGAATTTCTTTTATGGAATAATTTTTATGTAGATCTTTTAAATTACATAATTTTGTATTACTAGCATGATCTGGTTTCAAAGTGTATATACCATATTTGGTTGACATATAAAATATAAATTCACCAATTATAGATATTTGACATTGTAATCCAGTGCCACCGATTTTATTATCTAAATCATATAAACGTATAACTGTTTGATCATATCCCATATTTGATAAATCTATATTCTTTTCTCTTAAAGATGTATAATAGTTTATATTTGGAAGTTTTGGTTTTCTATATTCCACTTTTTCATTGTTCAATTTTGTATAATTATTTTCTTTTAAATTATTATTTTTATTATTATTAATTATACTTTTAACATGATAAACTAGTGCTAATCTCTTTCCATCTGAACTTAAATGACGTTCACATGGTGTATCATCCAATATTGATGTCATTAAAAAGTCCATTTCAAAATTATTCATAAAACTATTTTGTATATTTGATTTGATACATTCAACTGAAATAATTTTTTGAGTTAATATATTATAATAAGAGAATAATTGTTGATTACCAATTTCAGTTGAATAAACAATATCCAATTCAGAATGATAATTAACTGTAGATAATTTTTTACCAATTGGTGTTAATGCCATAGGTCCTTGATTTTTTGAACCTAATATAAGTACATTTATACTTGTTAAAATAATACTTCCATTTGTTATAATTATTAAATTGCCACCTCGAATGAAATATAATTCATCTATAGCAGTTTTAAATGCATCTATTTTATGTATTTTAACAAGTATATTTATGCTAGATTTATTAGTATTAGTTATTGGTCTACTCATAGTTATATTGGATATGATTTGTGTTGATTGAACAGCATTGAATTCAATTAATTCAATCCATGGTTTATGAATAGATGATTTAATGAAATGTATTAAAAATGAATTAGTACTATCATTACCAAATCGTATTTGACTATTATGATATCCTTGTAGACCAGCAATTAATATTCTTGAATTTATTTGCCATATACCTATTATTAAACGATAATCATTGACATTATATAATGCAGCTAAATATTTTTCATCTGGTGATATCCATAATTTCTTAACACTTACTTGATGACGTACTTGATCAAGTATATTCATTGTCTCTGAATCCCATAAGAATGGAATATTGTTTTTCTTTTCTAATGATACTTCTGATAGTGATTTAATTTGTATATTTTTTATATTCTTGTATAAGTTTAGTTCAAAGTTTGGCTTAATAGTACGAATTTCTTTATTTGATATCTGATGAGGGGGGGGGTAAAAAAATAATTGAAAAAATTCTATTGGTTATTAGATCATATTTTAACCGACTACTTATTTTTGTTCGGTTAAATAATTTAAGGGTATTGTTTAGTATACTTACTTACTTACGCCTGTTACCCCTTGTGGATGAACATGGGCCGCTCACCAGCATTCATCATCAAACCCTGTCCACGGCAATCCTTTCCAGTTCGTTCCAGTTGTTATTCATCCTTTTCATATCTGCTTCTATTTCCCAGCGTAATGTGTTCTTTGGCCTTCCTCTTTTCCACTTCCTTTCCGGATTCCAAGTTAGGAATTGCCTGGTGATGCAGTTCGGTGATTTCCTTAATGTATGTCCGATCCACTTCCAACGTCTTTTTCTAATTTCCTCTTCAGCTGAAAGCTGGTTTGTCCTCTCCCATAAAGCGCTGTTGCTGATAGTATCTGACCAGTCAATGTTGAGTACTTGTACGTTCTTGACGATGGATGAAGTAGTTCTCCACGTTTCAGCTCCGTACAGTAGAACTGTCTTGACGTTCGTATTGAAGATTCTCACTTTGAAGTTAGTTGACAGTTGTTTTGAGCTCCATATGTTCTTCAGTTGTATGAATGCTGCCCTTGCTTTGTCAATCCTCGCCTTTACATTTGCATCCGATCCTCCTTGTTTATCAACGATGCTTCCCAGGTACATGGATGTTTCCACCTCTTCCAGGGTTTCACTATCTAGTGCGATTGTGTTGAAGTTATCCGTGTTGTATTTCAGGATCTTGCTTTTTCCTTTGTGTATGTTGAATTATTTAGTATAAGGTGATAAATTGAAAACTTTAAGAGAACCCCCAGAGGATATTAAGACCCTTTCTCATATTTTAAGTCAACTTTTTAAAATGAAATCTGTAAGGCAGTTGAACTTAATTAAGACATTACTGATAGCGTGACTGCTTGTTCACTGTTTATCTTGAAACTTAATAATTTCTGATTTCATCCAAGGAGCGAAATTCTTACATTAAGGAGGATCTATTTCGTTATTAGTAAGATTTGGTTTATATATTTGTTACGTCCTTGAATCTGTCTACCCACTTAGTGCCGAGTATAATGTAGATTAAGACCTTGACACGATAGACTGACTGGCTTAACCTTGAGGCCAATATGCATGAGTTCGAAATAGGGGTAGAGAGACGAAAACTATTCTGTCCCTGATTGGCTGGCAAGCACGAGAGAGAGAGAGAGAGAAGACAAAGACAGATAGAACACTAATCACTTTATTCCAACCCGATCTAGCACTCGAATTCCCAATTCAGATTAGGGTGAAAAGTTACATTAATAAATAGATGACTAAGCGGACCATAACGTACAATAATTAGAAAAATACAATCATGTCCAAAACTGGGGAATTATAGTAGAAAATAGGGTACAAAAGATTACGTCTAAATGACAATAGCTTTAAAGCGGAAAATGCTATGGCAATGAATTATACATCAAACGAAAGCTTATGATCTGTAGAATAGGCTAGGGGCAAAAGTAAATGTTACAGTTTTACAAGCTTGGAATTAAATGAATTAACGTCCCCGAAAATAGCTTCCGTAATTTGTTCAGGCTTCTAGTTTTGCGGATCACATCAATATTAATCAAAGAAAATCTCATCCAAAAGCATTTTCTTTTCACTTGACCATTACATACTGTCTGGTAGGGATTTTGATTATTATAGTGACGCATTTGATCATAACTAAAAGCCTCAAAAATTTCATTTTTGCTGTAGAATAAAAATGGGCATAAACTGTATCCAGTTTGTTGTTTTGAACGGGGTTCAAAAGACTTCTAGCCCAATGTTAAAACTATTGATAGTAAGGCTAGATATCATATACATAGTTTATTAATTATACAGAAGAAAATCATAGGATGATGCTACTGGCTTTGCTTTTAAGGCCTTTTTCCCGGTAAATCATTTGTGAACTTCACAAGAAGCTAAAATCCCACTACTGAAGGCAACTCACTACAGCTATTCTCTGTTTCATTGTTTTACATAAGAATGATGACAAATACTTCCAAGAAGTGTTTAGTTCATATCTCTCTCTCTAGTCTTAATTATATTATATATGAAAAACCTCATGGAGGTTACCATTTGAGACTTTTAAGACATACCAAAATTAAGAAACGTAGAATCTCACTGGTTGGACTGTAAGAATTCCTTGTCAAATCGCTAAGTAAATTATATTTTTCTTTGTAAAAAATCCAAATATAATTTGATCATTATCTGCACTTGGAGTTTCTTTACTTTATGTGCTAAAAGTATACACCAAAAATGTTATATCCGGTGGAGAATTATGAATAGTAACTTGAGTACTATTTATGGACCAATGTGATATGCATATTTCCTATTCTATAATTGTTAAGTAACCAAACTATTCATATTCATGTTCTTCTTATTATAAGCTTTATTTTGACCTATGAACTATTACTATACGATTTACCATTCCTGAGTTATCTCCAGTCTATTAATTACTGTTCCCTCTATTCACAGCCACATTTGGCCAAATCTTGTACAAATGTTATTTTTTATTTTATGTTATTATGTGGTCTGTTTGGTTGGTATATAAACTTAGTATGTTTGTGAATAATGATTCATATTGCAGAGGCTGTTATAGGTGTTCTGGACTTAACTGGCTAGTCTAGGCAGAAAACAGTACTGACAAGTAATTAAGACTGCTCATACGGCTTTTGTGTATCATTGGGCGATCGATCGATACTGCTCTCTAATTGAGCGGTCTTATAACGTTCATATATCGAAAAGGGCACGGAAGCACTCAAACGTTATAACAAAAAAGAAATATCAAAATCTTAGTAAAAACACTTACCAAAGTTAAATCAAACCGATAAATCTGACCTAAACTTTTACATCCAATAAATAAATTCTCTCCTCTAATATTTGCTTGAAATATAGCAGGTGCTAAAGGACACTTTATCCAAGCTAGTACATCATTCAATGTATTCTTTAATCGAACTTGAACTGAATTATTATTAATCTCTTTTAATTCATTTTGGCTATTTTGTAATTTTCTTTTCTTTTCTACACTAGTTTTAATTTGAATTGGCCATCTTGAAGGTCCAAAACAAATTCGATCATTTGGTAATATATAAAATGGTAATGGAACTTTAGATAATATACCACTAATTGGTTTTAAATTTGGTATAGAATAAACTGTTGCATAATCTTGACTTGTTGTATGTTTTTCATTACTTCCTTTTGGTTCACACTGTTTTATCAAGATACTAGATCGTGTAATACATAAAATTTTTAATTGAATTGGATATGTAACAGATAGATTACCTTCAACACAACCTAATTCCAAATTAACGGCTAGAATTCCAGACTTTTTGTTATTTGAATCATTTGTTGAATATGTTAAAAGAACCAGCTGATTTTGATGTACTGGCATATAAGCTTGATGAAATATATAATTAGGCCATTCACCAAGACTAAATGAACATGATTTAGTCAATGAATTGACTTCCCACATATTGATTATTACTTCATTCTTATTTAAACAAGATTCAATATTAGATTGATTCATTCGACTCCATGTTAATGTAAACAAGAATCTTGAATCCGATGAAATTGTTATGATTTCATTTATTTCTTGTTTTTTTACATCATTGATTAATGAACAAAATCCTGTTTCATTATTTTTATATTTCACATTTAATAATTCCGGTTGTAATGGTAATGTATAACATATAGGTAATAATGGTAATAAACAATTTACTTTATTTGAATCACAATCAATACTATTTAATAATTGACGACCAATATAGGCATAGTCAGTACTAATTAAATGTCCAATACGTCCAGCTAATTCAACATTTAATAATGTTGGTGCAATAGATAATTTTGATGATAAATTACGTAATAAATTTAAAAGATACATGATTTCATCATTAGTTCTTAATTGATTTAATTGTCTTAAATAATAAAATTCTGTAATTACATCATTTGGTCTTAAACCTAATAATAATTTACCTAATATAAAATCATATGAAAAGATAACATGCTTCAATAGATCTTGTACATTATCTGAACCTAATTGTAATAATTGATAAGGTAGTTCTGTTAAACGACGTGCATTACATATATAATGTTTATTATAAGTACCTATAATTATATCAGTATTCAATTTTATTGATTTATTCATTGATAACCAATAATACATTGTATGAAATGAATCTTCATTATGTTCTATATTGTTATTATTATTATTATTATTATTAGTAGTAGTAGTAGTAGTAGTAGTATTGGTTCTTATTTCATATGAATGATCAATTTGTTTTGTATGTTGTTCATAATCATCTTGTTCATTATTATAACCTAACCAATAATTTGTTAAATATTTATGAAATATAAATTCTTTTAATATTATATCATCATTATCATCATTACTATTATTATTATTATTATTATTATTATTATTAATATTGATTATATTATGAATATTATAACCCCAAAATAATAATACCCCTTTACGATATGATTCACAATTAAATGTAATTAATAAACGATTATCTGTATGAATAAATAATAAATAATTTTTTATATTATATATTGATGAATAAATTAATTTTAATAAACAACCAATAGGAAATGATTGTATTGAATTTAATTGATTTAATTGTTTTCTTATTTTAATAATATTTAAATCATTTTGTAATATATGAATTAATTCATTAAATGTTAAACCATAACGTGAACATGCTATATATGGCATAAAACGTAATAATTCAATAATTAATAAATTTTCTTGTTTTAATATTGTATAAATTTGTTTTAAACGTAATTGAAATAAATTAATTAAATCATTTGGATAATGATTAGGTAAATTAATATTTATTTGAGTAGTATATTTAGTAGTTAATATATCAGCTAATAATTTTATATAATTTGGTGTAATATTTTTTTGTATATTTAATTTTGTTAATTCTTCACTGATATTATTTGATTGAAAATGTATACTACTTTTTTCTTTGTTAGTAGTATAAATTTTATTATAATTTGTTTCAATGAATTTGAATAAAATTTCATTTAAATTATTATGTATTTGTAAATAAGATAATAAATTAATACAACAACCATCCCCAAAATGCTTATTAAATCCTTTTATAATTTTTTCTGAAGTAGTTGTTATTAATAAACGTATATAATGATTAGGTAATTCAATTGGTAACCATTGAAACATTTGTACATGTTCATCTGGATATAAATATTCAATATCATCAATTAATATAAGTATTGGTTTTAATGGATTAGCATATGATAACATTGTATTTAATAAACGAACAGCTTCAGCATATTCACATAATGATTTAATATTTTGATTATTTATATTAAATTTCATTATTAATTGTTCAATTATTTGTATTAAAACTGATTGTAATGATGTTGATAAAAATGTTCGACCAATACAACATATAATTATAATTGGTTCTATGTTAGATTGTGATGTAGTTAAATTAGTTGAATTTGATACTACTTGATCATTTGTTTTGAATTCTGAGTGAATATGCTGTAATCCAATGAAAATTTAGGAAAAAAGTCATTATCAGAAGGAGTTTTGTGGATATTATTGTAATTTTAATAGTTGAGATCATGAGCCATTTGAAGTTAGACATTAACACCGTTGGCTGCCAGCTCAGTGTTATAGAGGTTAAGCGCTCGCGCGTGAGACTGATAGGTACTAGGTTCGGATACTGTGAGCGGGATGCTGAGGGGTCCCATACCAGGTCGAAACGGCCGTCCAGTGCTTCTAGGTTTTTCATGGTGGTCTAGCTTTAAGTGGTTCATGAATTAAATTATTAAGTTACTATAATATCCGCAAAACCATTCCCTGATTATTTGAATTAAATTATAGTTATTTGTTAAATTATTAAAATCAGTCGGCAGAAGTCTGCTATTTCAAACAAATTTTCCTACTAATAAATTTATACCAAGAAAAACATCATAGCCAATTAACATAAATCTATTTTTATTTTTTGATTCCTCATCAGCTTCGTATAACTTAAACACATTAGTATCATTCAATAACAATCCGTGTATATAGTTTATATCATTATATTGGAAATGTTCTCATCGATCAAGAATAATACAACATAAGTATGTATGAGAGAGGTTGAAACTAAGAGATCAACTAATCGACAGTACTATCATTTGTGGACGAACCAATCAAACTTAAGATAAGATGTTTTGGATTTTGGGGCGAAATTCAGTGATCAATTCAGTTAAATAGAGTTTTAAGATTATAGCTGATGTTATTTCTTAATGAAAATCCTAAATCTAATTCCGTACACTAACCATCAACTGTAAATCGAAGTTCTCATCTTTCACACTGCTTTATAACCCTTATTTAGTCCTAGTTGGTAGATGAACATTCTCAAGGTCATTTTAGCGTTGTTCAAAGGTCGTCCATAGATTATAGTCACACTAACTTATCTTCAATAGTTTATTCTCTTATTATTTATTTGATAGTGTGCATGACATTAAGATTTCAGGGTTGCTCATAACATGTTTTAACTTACTACGTTTTGCCGAAACCATCTTTATCAGAGGGCTTAAATTAGATTTTTGCACTCAAAAAGATACTGTTGTTATTTGCGATTCGTCCTGGTAACCTCTGTTTCCAAAGTGTTATTTCCAAGTAGCTTTTCACTGATCACTAGATAACTAATTGCCTTCAAACCTTGTTTATTTTCATCTGAGTTTCACTCCCTTCAAGCTTAGAATCAGTCCTTTTCTTTTTTCATCACGTAACTTTTAATACTGATTTTTTTCCAGTAATTTGTCTCTATATGCTTTGTAGATCCTTTCTTCTAGAATTTCTCTATTATTTAACGTCTGAATATTCAATTATCATTTTAACATCTTTCATAATTCTTCCATATACATTCCCGTTGTATTATTCTTCATTGATGAGAACATTTCCAATATTATGACGTAAGGTATTTACATGGATTTTTATTGATTAATACTATCATGTTTAGGTAGCAAGCAACTGAGGAGGAACTATCAAAATTGAATGAATCAACGTTCTTTTGCTATGTTCATCTTTCTTATATTGTTTGAAAGTCTTCTGGTTATATTACACGCTCTGCTGACCGTTATATGAAGTAAGCTTTATTGAGGAAATTATCCTTCAAACCAGATTTCAGCGGAAGAAAAAATCAGAAAGAAGCGCTGGAAGTGGATAGGACATACATTGAGGAAATCACCCAACTGCATCACAAGGCAAGCCCTCACATGGAATCCTGAAGGTCAAAGAAGAAGAGGAAGATCAAAGAACACATTACGTCGAGAAATGGAGACAGACATGAGAAGAATGAACAAAAGTTGGATAGAACTAGAAAGGAAGGCTCATGACAGAGTAGGTTGGAGAATGCTGGTCGGCGGCGTATGCTTCATTGGGAGTAACAGGTGTAAGTAAGTAAGTATCCTTCAATAAATAAACCTATTCCTTTTAATGTACTAGTCAGAAAATGTACTACCACATGATCTGAACAGTAGTCTATATCATTCTAAAAGTGAATTAAATGTACACATTATTTAAATGGCAAATGTAATCAATAAAAACCAAAATAAAATTAAATGAATATTCACTGATTAACATATAATTTACATTGTCTTTAAGATAAATTGATTACATTATTATTATTATCTCAGCACGGATACAGAAGGCTCAACTAGCTTTCGTTAACTTACATCATTTATGACGTAGGCAAGATATCTGTTTACCAAACAAAGGACGGGTTTACTGTGCAGCAGTCCGTTCTGTCCTACTTTATGGCAGTGAAACATGGCGAATAATAGTAGAGGATATTAGTAGGCTACTAGTTTTCGATCATAGATATCTTCGAAGCATTGCTCGTATATCCTGGGATCACCAAGTAATGCAGTTGTTAGGAAACGGGTATTAGGTAGGGAAGACAAACCGATTGATGAAGTAGTGAAACTTCATCAGTTGAGATGGCTGGAACATGTGTTACATATGCCCAACTACTGACTTCCCCGACGTACAATGTTTTATGGTGTAGGGTAAACCAGACCAAAGCACGGCATAAATCCATGAAGTCACTGACAATTGGACTGAGCCATGTTAGTAGGTGTCTTCAAGACAAATTGATTACATCATCATCATCATCATCATCATCATCATCATCATCATCATCATCATCATCATCATCCAAATCATCATCATCATCATCATCATCATCATCATCATCATCATCCAAATCATCATCATCATCATCATCATCATCATCATCATCATCATCATCATCATCATCATCCAAATCATCATCATCATCATCATCATCATCATCATCATCATCATCATCATCATCATCATCATCATCATCATCATCATCATCATCATCATCATCATCATCATCATCATCATCATAATCATCATCATCATTATTATTATTATTATTATTATTATTATTATTATTATTATTATTATTATTATTATTACGTTTCATATATATATTACTAACCTTAAAATAACTAACTGTCCATCTTAATAAACTAGTTTTACCACATCCTGGTGGTCCATATATTAATCCTGGTAGCTTTGAATTACTTGTTAAGTAATTTTTTATAATATTAATTTCACGATGATATAATTCATTCATTAATTGATCATTCCAATTATAATCATTACTTTCATTATTATTATTATTATTATTATTATTATTATTATTATTATTATCTATTATATAATGATTATAATGATATTCTGATTGAATATTTAATTCATTAGTTGGATACATTAATAAATTATAATGAGTTTCAGCTTCAATTTCATTAGTTAATTGTAATTGATTATTATAAAATTTCATTTGTTTATTAAATAAATTTTTAATTAAATTTTTTATTAATTTAATAATTTGTTTAATAAATATAATTAAATAATCAATATATGTTATATTATTATTATTATTAGTAGTAGTAGTAGTAGTATGATTAGATTGTTTCATTTTTAAACGAATTTTTGTTAATAATAATTTTTCTGTATCTAATTTTGTATAAATATCATTTATTTTTAATGATAAATTAGTAAAATAATTTAATATATGAATAGGTATTATAAATTTCATGATTTGTTCTTTATGAATTAATTTTTTTAATTTATTATTGATTATATTATAACAATCATTTATTGATTTTGGATTAGGTATTAATTGATCAATATTATTGATTGATGATTTATTGATTTCTATAGAATTCATAAGATCATCAAATAAAATATGTTTATTATTAATTGTTTTTGTTATATTATAGATTTCTTTTAAATTATTGATTGAATGAATATTATTAAGACCTTGAATATGACGTTCTATTAATAGGCTGTGTTTACCTAGTTCTGGATGTTTTTCAATGAGTTTTGTATAACGTTCAATATCTTGATGCAAAAAAAATTTTGTGAAATAAATAATGAAAAACTGATTAAATATGAATCATTTAAATTTAATAAGAAAAATTTATTTTCAATAATGAATGGCGGGACTATAATTTATGGACGACCATTTGAACAAATATAAAATAACCTTGAGAAATGTTAGCCAATCAGTAAACAGTCATCATAGAGTAAAAATATATTATATAAAACCAACGATTTAAAGTGGATACACTTCTTTTACATGGTTCAAAAACTTGGTAAGGTTAGAAAAAGCTTCAAAGGTCCAAAAATCTTAATACATAAGTTCGAGGAACTCATCCATACGGTTCCATAATAGTCGGTCTCTCGAGCCATGATAAAGTCACAAAAACTCTCTCAGCCTCGACCACATAGCTTTAGTATTGTTTGAGTTTACTGCGGTTGTGTACGTTTATCATTTTTATTACACATATATCCCTACAATATTCATAACACTGAACAGCCGAAGCTTCAGTAACATCTGCGAATATTTCGGTCAATATTACTGGTGCTTTTATTATACAGTTCGCGGCAATTATTATAATATGCCTTAGTCTCAATCTGGATTGAATGAAAAAGCTTCCCATTCTAGCAAACATCTTCCTTCAACATATGTTACAACGAAGGACCACATCATGGTAGTCTGCACATAGTCTACAAGTCATTTAACTACCGCAATTACAAATGAAGGAACTTCTTAGTAGTTTCATTCATTGTAGCCGCTTAATCATCACGTCTTACTTAAAATCCTCTGTGAACCAAACGTACATGAGCAACATGTACTGAAATCGATGCCGTGATCTTGAAATCTCTCCATCGCTTCTGATTAGCTCGTCCATAAATTATAGACTCGCTTAGTGAACATACGTGAATTAAGTAACCTTAGTCATTTACTAAAAACGCAAATAATTATATCTTTTAAAATATTTATTCTTATTTTCTTATTAATATAACTTTGACCCATAGTTAGCAGAATTTACTCTGTAATAGAATGGTTCAATAGTGAATATTTCTATATTTCACTAATCGATTAAATCTTCTGAAGTATTGTTTCTATGGTGAATTTAATAAATCAGGTGTCTAACTGTTAATGTGTCCAAATTTTATTGATCCGGAAAAATAAGAATTCTCTTGTGTCATTGATTTTATGGGGTTCTCTTAATGACTACTTGATGTAATTACAAGTAGTAATAAATAAATTTCAAAAGATTAGGTTACAATCATTAAATCTTTTAAAAGTTCATGCTTCCTATATGTATGGCTAACACTTGTAAAGTATGTTTTTTTTTACAAAGATCATACAAATTCTTTTCATTTTAGTTAACGGTGTTCTATTTTTTTCAAACCCCTGTTATTAACCCATAGTTTGTCGATAACTGTTGAACAGCGATAGAATAGTAATGGACATCATGATGTACATCGTAGTCAGTAAATAACTGAGCCTATCATTGTTAGATATACTATTTGAAAAATTAAAGTTATATTTCATAGAAACATTCAGAAGTATAACTAAACTATTCATAGCATTTATCATAGAAATTTAAGCATAAATCTTTCACTCCGTAATGTCACTGAACGTATCCTGAAATTTGCTTGGTGCATTGATAGATGACATCTAAAGGTCTTTAAAGAATAAAAATATTGGCATCAAACAGCTTATGTCAGTAATATTTACATGATTTAGTTACTTTTTAGCATTTTTTTCAAAACCATTCAGTTTTTCGTTATAAAGTTTGTCCTCACTGATTATTCCTTTTGCTTTTATGCATTTCATTAGAACATAGTTTAACCATTAGGTAATTTTTTGTTCAGAAAATTTATGGATAAATGACTTTCTTTCTCATACTCTTGCTTATCTATGTTTCAATATCTCTTTATTATTCATCCTTACTTATTTACTTACTTACGCCTGTTGCCCCTCGTGTAGGAGCATAAGCAGCACACCAGTATTCTCAATCTAACCCTGTCCTGGGCAATCCTTTCCAGTTATTTCCAGTTGTTATTCATCCTTTTCATATCTGCTTCTATTTCCCGGCGTAATGTGTTTTATTATTCATCCGATTCTCATAAAATTAATAGATAATTACTTTCCAGAGTAAATTGTAATTTACTCATGATTCAAAATCAATTCACTGGTAATTTTTCACTTACTCAATCAAGATAAGGTGGTGGTTGGAGGTAGTCAACAGGAAACCTTGGACTGAGGTTTCGTGCTACTTGGCACTCGTGAGCAATCTTAAGGCAACCTATACTGATGGTCTGGATAGCCCAGTGGTGACTTCTCTGACTGTGAAACTGGTTGACACGGGATCGAATCTGTCAGGGAGCATCAGTTCTCTCAAGATTACACAACATAATCATGGCTGATTGGGAGTAGTTGGGAATAAAATTGAACATTATATATATGGTAATATCTGATTTATTTCTAAAAGTATATTTTTAATTAGCAACTGAAAGTTTTTCCAACTTTTAAAACTACATACTTGTGATTTTATGCCTTAATTCAATCTAAATGCAGAGAACAAGAATGACAACGGACACTGTTTAAAATATATTCAAAGTGAATATAGCAAAACCGAAGTTTTAAAATAAGCAATTGTTGATGAAGAGATTCTAAACAAAGGATACTTAATTGAACTTAAAGTATTAAGATATATTATATAAAATGTATAGTTAGATTATGTCATCAATGTTGTAAGACAGAAATGGAAGGTAGTCATTTAGATGCGTAGACCGAGTAATAAGTTTATCTCAATTACCGAATCGCGTACTGGAAAATATAATTTGGTGCTAATTGCAATATACTACTAACTTCCTGTAAGTAACTAGATTTTTTCACATCATATTCACCCACTTTTACTATATGTGGATCAATGAGTTCTATCATAATAGTAATAACGATAATAATAATTATTGTTACTGTCATTATGCTTATGCAAAGCCGTATACGGGTAATTATGAGAGGCATTTGTACTTTGGTTATATCCTATTCATAAAAGATACTGGTATGGAAATGAATAGCTGTTTGAAAATTCAGACAAGTCTTAAGATATTATAGAATATCGCTACTTCATAAAGAGAAAAAAACTTGTTTTGTCCTCTCTTTAAATTGACTTTTCCATTGGACTAGAAGCACAAAAGATGATTTGAGAAGGGCAGTAAACATCTGTAATTGAAAGTGAAACGATTACAATTTTGATTATACAGCAAAATTATTGTCTATATCAGAGTATGACAATTCATACACCAGATATAAATCTATTTCCAGCACTTTTCACAAGTCCTAATACCATTGGATACACGATTTTTAACTTTCACAATAATTTACTCAGTTGGTTATTATTAATATGAGTAAATTTATGACAAACCATCATTCTGCTGGCCATCATTTTGGATATAATTTAACAATCTCAATGTTATACTAGTAACAATAAAACACTCCACGATTTACCATTTAGAAGATTGACACATTGTTATGAACGTTTATTAAATTTGAAGATATAATCCCATATTCAAAAATTCTTCATGTAACTTTCGTATGCTTGATACGATTTATTTTGAAATAAATGCATGTAGTGTCGGTTACTATGTTAAGCCCATATACTTTATTATAGCTTCTGGACAGGTCAATTTATTCATTCTTCTTCAATCACGTTTTGATCTTGTTAATTATTCACTTGTTAACGCTGACTGTTTTTATATGAGCACATGTGTGTGTACACTTCTTATCCTATTCATCACATGTCTGTAACTTATCTTTATCTTACCAAAAAAATTGATTAACGCCTCGTTAAATCAAGTTGGCTCATACGCCTTCTCCACCGCGTGTGATTTCACTTCGTTCTCTTCCATTCCTTTCATCCCTCTGATTTCTTGTCAAATTCAGTGAGTATGCAAAATATACGTGTTCAAAAATTCATTCGCGTATTTGACGTATTTAACTCCGTTATTCACTGACGTGGAGTATGTCGATGCCTATATACTGTAAACTGATATGAAATTTTAATGAATGAAATGTAAAATGGCTTAATTCCTTATATATGGTAAATCAAGAAAATTCCTGACTTAGGAAACTTGTAACGATACTTTATTATGAATTGTTAATCATAATTAGTTAGTTAAAAGTGTTATGTGATCCAATACTGGGACAAAACATCACTATCACTGAATAAAAACATATAAATTATGCAACTTCGAGAAATACCAGTATCAGTATCGTTTGGTTGGCTTGTGCTCCCCACTCTCCCACAGTTAAATAATAGTATTTCGATTATATAAGGGATTTGTTGTGTTATCTTCCGATGTCTTAAATATTTTTAATTACACTAGCAGATTATGTTGCTAATCAAGATGGATCCCAGACAATGATAATAAACGACCAGCTAATGACTGAGTTTGAATGGTTTATCACTATTATATATTATATACTTCTTGTTTTCATTATCAAGTTGTGTGGGGATTATTTATCTGTTTTCACGGTTTAAAATGAAATTACAGGTTTGCCGACAAATGTACGTTTCAGTAACGTTTTTATTTCAGAACCCATATTCATAGATTTTTAAATAAAGTACCTCAAACTACGATTTGTCTTTCGTCTATATGATAAACAGTTACTCATTTATTTATTTAGTATTTATAACGCTTTATAGGTTTAGACCATTTATCACTGTATATTCTTACGGTTTCTTGGTGAATTAGAGATTTTTTTTGTATAGTTGTACTTCATTCCACATAGTTACTATCCCAGTCATGAAAAAACTCATAAAGTTTTTGGATTTTTAGTCATAATGGCCCCATTGATTACGATAGGTTTTATTTGCTATGAAATCAAGTAGCAAACATCTGAAAATCCTTTACAGTCATAGGTTAAACGGGTAGTGTCTTTTTTAGTTCACCTTATTCTTTAATTAAAATTATATTATAATGAAAAAGTTATGGCAATACTGTTTTAATGTAGTTGGTCATTGACAGTAAAAAAAGACGTTTCTTCCTTTCCAATTAGGTACATTATTATTGATTACTACATAGTAGTTACATATTTTTTTTCATTATAAAGCTACCCAGTTTTACCTGCCATAAATATTATCGATCCTAAACTATAGTTTCTTGTTTATTACCCGCATCAAACTAATAAAAAATTATAATTACGAATAACTTTTGAATTGATCTCTTAACTAAAATTTGCACCAGGTTATGAAATAGTTTAATGCCACTATTACCAGGTGATAAACGGTAACTTTATCAATATTATTTATAAAACAATAATCACTATGATGGTCTTAAATTGATGAAGTAGGGCATAACTTGTTTTGACAAAAATCAATAAATTGTTGTGTAGTAAACTAAAGAAAAAATTTTTATCAATCCTAAAAGTTATTATTTTCGAAATATATCAGTATAACATGATTTTTTTGTATTTCGGTGTAATAATACTAAGTTAGACGAAACGCGCGTCCTGGATTCCACTGCTAGCCACTATCCATCTCTGCATACAATGTTTGTGAATTAAGGCTATATCGAGGCAATACGCACAGTATGCATATATACCAATTAGAGACTGACCAGTTGCAGTCCTAAACATCGATGGGAAGATTCAAATAAACAATACTAAGTGAATTTAAACTTCACAACATCGCACAAGCAGATGGCTATCAGGACTCAGTGGTTGAGTGGATAACGCGATGGTGTTTGAAGTGAAAGGTACTGGGTTCGAGTCCCGGAGTGAACATCAACTCTGAGATGCAGGTACATCCAGCTGACAAGTCCCAAATAGGATTAAGTGCGTGTCCTGGATTCCACTGCTAGCCACTATCCATCTCTGCTTACCACGCTTGTGAATTAAGGCTATATTGAGTTAATACGCACAGTATGCACATATGCCAACTAGAGACTGACCAGTTGCAGTCCTAAACATCAATGTGAAGATTCAAACAAACAATACTAAGTGAATCTAAACTATTTATATAGTTTAAAATAATTACTGAACATTAACTACTATCATCTACCGACCTTTTCAGTGGAAAATGAACTTTATCCATCATTGGATCTAAAAAGAAAAACGTCGATTGTTTTCAAATAAACAACATTTAATTGCTAAGCTACTTAAATTCATAAATGAATTTGATTTCTTCATTTATAAATAGTATCTCACAACTTAAAGGTTAACCTCAAATACACAGTTATTTATTCAAATCTATAATCTTGTGGTGTTCTGAGAGGATCTCTGACGATAAATTTAATCCAAGGATTGGGAGACTTTTAACTCTATTATAGAATGATATGAATTCTGTGAACACAATGTATAATTCAAGTTAACAAAAAAAAGTGAATATTCAAGACATTTTTCTGGTTGCTTATAGATGGGAAATTGAGTAGTTTAGAATGAGTCAATGAAGTCTGTATATAGACCTGATAAAATTGTTTTTAAACAAGCTTAACGAACATATAATACTGATAACATTGTCATCAATTTACTAATTAAATTTGGTGATTGAAATATTACTGTAATCAGAAAAATAACTTAGTTATATTTGGAAATATAGGAAACTATAGTGCTTACGAGTATTATGTTTGAGGAATTCACAATATTTTGAAAATATTTGATACGATATATCTAAATATACGGATCGAAAACAGAGCTAATTTGTTTGAGATGGTGGTTGGAGGTAGTCAAAAGGAAACCTTGAACCTATGTTTCGTGCTACTTGGCACTCATCAGCACGGTGTACCTGTAATTTTGAGGAGACTGGTGCTCGCTGACAGATTCGATCCCGTCACCCAACTTCACAGTCAGAGAGACGTTACCGCTGAGCTATCCGGGCCGCGACTGACTCTCTGTAGGACTGAGATGTATTTAGAAGCGAATGATCACTGTTTCACTGAGAAGGACTAGATATAAGTGACACTCATCACCCACCACCCAATGATCAATCAATTGTAAACTGGTTTATTTTGACGACGAGTACAAATATTTCGCCATATAGAATATGATTATAAATTCACTGAATTTTTTATATTGAAGTGTAAGGACTGAATAATTAAGGAATTATAAGGAAGCTTCCAGGTTTTCGATGGTGGTCTAGCTTCAATTGACTCATGATTTCAACTTTGAAATATACTGAAATCTCCACAAATCCCCTTCTAATTATAAGGATACTAATACAATACTGGTTTTTTTCATGAGTAAAAGTGATAAGTGAACATGGCAACCTCAATTTGATTTTCAGATGAAAACTTTTATTGAAGGGGGTGGAAAAGTTTATTTTCATAATTTACATTACTTAGTTGTTACTAGACTTTAACAAAACTCTACTAACAATGTAGATTTTGCAATTCAGTCATTCAATTTAAAAAATACTACACCAACCAAAGGTTTAATAACAGTTGAAGTTAATTTATATTCTAGAGTAATGTGATCAACTCGTTATAGTTTTGCTGAAGTCAGTGAGTTATTCTCTCATAAATATAATAAGTACTAATGTTTATCTTATATCACTTTCTTTAGAGATATCAATATAGTCTAATCCTTTAACTGTTGCCTCATTACATCTCAAGGCTTTTCCTTTATTCCCTAAGTTCATTGACCCACATTTTTCGAATCTTCCAAGGACTCATATTTTTTATTTTCAACTTATTATTTGTAACGCATCTATTTTTTCCATGTTGGTTTTCAATTCATGTTTTCTACCTTTTAAGTGTCAATGAATTTGTTTAAGCTAAAAAAAATAGTAACCACCTTATTCTAACCATGTGAACTAATAGATAAAGTTCTTACGATTTAAATTTATCAAGGATTAAGACGAAACAACCACGTGTATCTACCTAGTATTCTTTTGATTAGCTTCTGAACTAATCCATAGAGCTTATTAGAAAAATATTAAGTCAGTAATTTTCCGGAAATCAACAAACTCAGTAAAAAATCCATTAACTATTAATGTTATGCTGAAGCGTAGGGATTTAATTTTTGAAGGGGTTATCAGGAACTTATCAGTTGGATAAATGAATTTCTCAGTTGTATGTAACAAATGAATCCAGATGTGATAAATTAACTTCATCATAGCTAGAAAAAATTAATTTAATTGGTCCGGCTAAGAGTTAATGACATGTACTTAAGAAAATCCTCGTACTATTCTGTTTATTTGCCACTACATAAAGCAGTTTAGATAAGTTAAATATCACAGCAAAATTTCTTTCATATTTTTGGAAACATGATTTATTTCCTTATGAATAGCTTGTAAACGTTAGCAGAATATATTGTTAATTTGAACAGTTTAAATGTTGATTGTATGAAATGCTTACAAACGAATAGACTGGAAAACCTTATTGTTAAGAAAACTAGTAATTCGAACACCAAGTACAATCATACTATAAATGATTTAGAATAAGTGCTACTAAGAATATTATGAACCACTATCGATCTGAGATAATTTCTTTTATCATTTAAAAGGTAATTCAATTTTGAAATTTTACAAAACTTACTTTATTTGTGTCAACTTATATAACTAACCTGATTCCAGGTATGGTTCCATTTCATCCAAAGTAAATATGCCTTTTTCAATGCATAAATTAACACCTTTCTGTATTATTTCAAAACATCTTTCTGCTTCATCATCCTTGTAAGCATTCTGAATAACATGTCATTTTTTGACATTCAACAAAGAAAATACTTCAAAACTAACTTTTAAAATAATGAAACAGTAATCATTTTCAATATGTTGAAGACTATAACTTTTAATTTGTAAAATAGTTGCCCGTGAAGTCGTATGAGTAATGTTAAATTGAGATTGTTTGACTTTTCATGTACTTGTTTATTGGTTTCATACTATTAATTTTTCTACTAGGATCTCTACTAGCTAGTGAGTGATAAACAATCTTTAATTTAGTTATGATAGATGGCAGGGCTCCGTCAAACAAAATCAGTGACTGGGTTTTAGCTTCTTCCGAACTTTTTAATATTAATAAATAATACGAGGACAATAAGTTGTGACTCTTACGGAAAATTGAATCAACGAAAATGGAAATAATACGTATGATGCCATCAGGTAAACTATGACAGCATAATTTTGCTGAATTTAGTGAATTTAGCCATTTTTGAAGTATCTGATGATTTGAAGATTTTGGTAAATGTTTAGGGGTCTGAAAGTCTTCAACATAATCTTGAGGGATTACTGAATTAGCACACGCGACGAAAAAAGTTAACATCACTGTGATTTTTGGATATATATGGAGCTGATGATAGATATCATGAAGGTAACAGACAAATCTTTTTGGTTTTTTGATTGATTCTCCAGAACTTTTTGTTGAGCTGACGTACGTCGTTGTACACTTATATACTGTAGCGAAATATTTTTGTTCTTTTTCTAAGGTCTGACTTTCAGTTTGATCTCTCAAAAATTTATCTGTAATATCTCATTTTGCCTAACTATTTGACCTTTCCTTTTTTAAATTCATGTTTCATAGGCTTATAAGTTATTCATTTCATTAAACTTAGTACCGATAACTGGCCGCCTCATCCTAGTAAATAAGGCAAAGTTCAGCCGTCGGTACCATCGTTTTATGTATGTATGTATGTATGTATGTATGTATGTATGTATGTATGTATGTATGTATGTATGTATGTATGTATGTATGTATGTATGTATGTATGTAATTACATGTGCAAGCATATAGTGGTGGTTTTTCTTGATAAAATATACGATCGCTTGTGTAAGGTAACATTATTAATGTTCAGATGATTGCTCTCAACTGTGATCCACTGGAATTCGGGATACTTTTAAAGTCCAAGACCTGAAGCACTGATTAATATCCTGAATGATGAGATGATGTTAACTTACTATTATCTTTAGCCTACTCATTAAAAACGTTGAACTACTCTCGATTTTCAATGTTCGATTAATTTAAATGTCGTAAATGACATTATTGGTTCCCTTTTATTTTGGTTTACAAAATCATTTTATAGTTCATTGGATGAGAGGACTTACTAATCATATAATACCCTCAAACACTACGTCATTATTTATGTATATAGCCTGACGGATTAGCTGTGGATAAAGACCGTCAAGCCAGCCAGGTATGTCGACGAGCAGTGAATCACTCATGCAGAGTACGTTTTTGGTATGCACATTGTCATGCTAGCTGAACAGTAGGTGAGCGTAGCTTCACACTTAAGCTCTAATCTATCTCGACACTATTTCGTTCCTGATAGCAAACTTCTTAACTTTCAAGCTGACTTTTAAATCTTCAACAAAAGGAACACACATATGTCTGTTGTCCTTCAAGCCCTATCTTGTAGCGAGCCCAACAGTTTTGAGTATCAGCTAGTATTTTATTGCATATTTCATCGGTAGTTGGTTTCTGTTTCTTTGTAGTGATCTGTTAACTTACTCCACTAGCGAAAGTGAGTCTTGAAGTTAAGAACTTGTAGTTGGCTTATTATTTATGTCCGAAATAGATCATGACTTTTACCTCTGTATATCGACAGTTCTCACAGCTTCCACATGCAGTAAACCAAAGGAAATACTTCAGGGTAATGTGTTTAGATAGTAAGCTACTTCATCATATACAGAGATATAAGTGACAGGTGGTAACAGACGAAGTGTATCATTTGCATTGTATATTTATTTTCAGCGAGGCTGGACCAAATTTATATGGTTCCACTTTTTCAAAGAAATCTTAACTGATTATATAATTTGTCAGTGAATGTGCCATTTTTGTGAGGGCAAACTTCTACTTGTAACCTTTGCTGTTACATCCGTTACTCTACTATAAACATACAACCGGAGCACATCGACCACTTGTTGTATCATTCGATACATAAATACAACTGTTTTTGTATTCGGATGCATTTACATTTGAAGCACTGCTTTGTTGCCTTTCTGATCTCAAAGCTTATCTCGTAAAAACCACTGAAAATACTTTTGTTTGTGCAGTTAAAAGTCGTGAAATGCCATATTGGCTTCTGTTAAGTCGGATGAAAGATGTTAATGCAGGTAAATAGTCCACCATTTGTAAGAATATCAAAGTCAAAACTACCATTCTGCATGCAACGATCATTTCATGGAGTCCTGCTTACAGGATACACGTAATAAGGGGTAGAGGTGACTAGTTTGCATCGTCCGCCATCCCTATAAGAGCGATTGTCCTTTGAGCTTCAAAAAGCTACCCAGTTCGTTTACCTTGAATTGTATGTTAGCGATCATTAGCCTCAGAAAATCATTTAATATTCTGCAGATAAGGGAAATGGTTTTACTTACGATCGACAGCCTTCACCCACTAATAATATGCTATCTGTCCGTTCAAATCCATTTACGGCGTAGATATTTCTGAATTTAATAGTTCTTTTCCAGTTTGTTTCATCTTTGAAATGTTGATGATTCTCCTGACACATTTTGAATGGTTCGCCGTTTCCTGGGGCCATTTATTGGCAAAGAACGTTTAGTGTTTATCTTCCATCAACATATTTCAGTAACTACTAACATTAGTATGCATAGCTAAACTTTCAGTCATGTTGCTGATGTGTCGTGAATCAGTCTACTTTGCTATTTTATGGTAGTAGTAAAAGTAGCGTGTTTTGTCATTACCAGCAATTTCAAAACAAAACTTTCCTTGGGATTCTTCACATCTAAACCTTAGTCGTATTTAACATGATATGTTTGGCTCCATTTAAAACTTAAATATCAATCACATTGCAATAAGTATGCTAGAGAAGAATGTGGAATCCCAGCATTATATCCAGGTACGGGTTGTGGTAATATGAGTAAGTAGTAACAGCTTGTTGGTCATTTGAAACTGAGCAGTACGCAAATGTACGCTCATAAGGCGATATTTGTCTAGGGTAACCATAGTCCTGATACTCAGCGTCATGTAATCTCAGTTAAAAAACACAAAAGTCATTCAGTCTCGATTTCGAAAGTAAGACAATATGATTATCCTCAAATTAAAGATGATAATACAAAATGTCGATAAGTAGTAGTGACTGAGTGATCCGAGTCCAAGTATACAACAAAACGCTAACAGTTTTTGGGCCTAATCACTAACTGTCTCGAATGAAGAAACCAAGTAGAAAAACATTTCATGTGTGTTCGTAAGAACAATACGACTGAATGATACTGTAATCAAAGGGTTCAAAATCCTATGATGATGACCACTTTCTTTTCAAGTCATGAGGTTACACGTTTTGACATGTACTAGGATGCACAAAAACACGGATTAGAATGAGACACTGGTATCGATCACTGAACGTCACAGGTCTTCAAAAACTGTTGGACTAAATACTTAGTAGACTACTCTCAATCGGAATATCGACAAAGAGTAAGGCAACCTAATCTTCAAACAGTCATTAACCGAAATTAATAGATTTCTCATTGAATTCCTCCTGACTGCATTTATCAATTAAACAAATCATAGTAGTACAAGCGATGTTAAATCACTTTGACTAGTAAGCCTACTGTAGCGTGATGTATAGTATCCATTCAGCACCGATGGCTTGGAATAATAAAAAACTAATCACTAATGTGGGATCTACCAACTGTAAACATTTTATCCTTACCAAAGATCACCAGAAATTGGAAATAATGTTTTCAGCCTTGGATGGTTGCCTGTGTGATCCTGAATCTTAGAGTAACTATCAGTACCCCCAAAATTTGTAAAGGCAGTTGTAATATGGTAATCACTTCACGCGACTCATGTTAATGAAAACTCAAAATGTTAATTATTGCGATACCAGAAGCAACATAAATATATTAAAAAAATTTGGCACGATACTGGGACAAAAATCTAATCTACTTCCTTTTCGAATTACCGGACTTCAAGTCTTTGCTTTCAACCAGAAATCAAAAACCGCAAACTAGCTAGTACCAAAATGTTGTTAAGTGATAGAATGTTAACTAAAGAATCGGTAAACAAGGTTGAAATTCAACATTATAATTGTAAAATATAAATCCTATGTTGAACAAAAGGCCGGTTACTTTATAATTACTTAAGTCATGTCATTCAACTCCATTAATCTTACCCCATTTAGACGATAAATTTGGTGTACTGGGTCGAACTGGTATGATCTCTGTAATCTGTCACTTGCTGGTTTGTCTGAATTTTCGAGGACTTCTTGGATTGTTACATAGTGTTCCCTTTCAAGTGAATCGATAATTTTCCTGTTCCACAGCTTTTCGCCTGTTAAAAACTGAATTTTTGAGAAAGTATTTTTCACTGTTTACCAGTAGAATAGGTTGCTGTGGAGACCGGTTCCATTCTGTCACTTTTTCAAGAATAAATGTAGTGCTCGGCTTAAGCTCAGGATAACAATCATCATTATGAGGATCAAAAAGCTGAACAATTCATGGTTAACATCTCAAAGATATCACGTTTACGATTAAATCACAGTTATAATTCTCAAGACAAAACCGCTTCAGGTTAGTTTCAACTATATTCCTCAGAACAAGTCTTTCAAACTCGAACTCAGGAAAATTTGAAATAAGAAAAATTCGCAGCTCGGTAACCATGATAATAGCCTCCCGTTACTCATTAGGTACATCCTACAAGGTCACTATTGTCAAGTAACTTCAGGGAACATTAAGTTAATTTTATGCTAACGATGGTTTTTACAGATGATTTTGGTTAACAACTTACACAGAATGTTTAACGTACAAATTGTTTTATTTCGCTTTTTGTTGTCAATATATGACGCGGCCTAAGTAAGATTTTCCAGCGCTCAATTAGGTTGGTCGGCACTTATTGGTCATTAGGAAACTATCGTTAAATTACTGTGAAAATGAATATTCTAGGCCTTAATATTGTTGCCTTAGGATGTTAACTATGTCTCTTATTTAAATATGATTATTTCTGTGCTGAACTTCAATTGTCGAGCGGAACTCCAGCATTTGATATAATACGTATGATTAATTTTAGTCAGGGCGTTACATAATGTTAGTCAAATAGTACATGTAGTTTAGTAGAGACTGAGTTAATAATTGAAATGAATTTTTCCTGGTGAAATGTAATTCTTACCTTTATTACTGCCGACACTCCCTACTCCCCCGTCACGTCATCGTGAAGTAACTTTCAGACCTTTCACCTCACCACAGACCTTCTGACCCATTCAATCTCGATACATAGTACGATTCTAGGCTTTGTCTCAAGTCGTATTTAAGGTGCTGCGTTGGTCGGATTTCCTCCCTTGACTTCTGGGTTTTAGCGAACCGTTCATATGGGATCCATTGTGGGTTCCTATTAAGAAATTCTCAAAAATGCACTGTATTTGTAAGATACTCATAGTCCAAAACAAGTGCCTGCCAATGTCTTAGCTTATCTTAGTGCCACAGTAGGTACTTAAAGTTGTAAGGTCTCTTGTGGGACAGGTAATCTAAGAAGCTGAAAGCGTTATCTAAGTATAATCAGTGCTTGTCTTTGTTTAATAAATTTTCAAGTTGTTCCAAATTCGCTTTCCCATTTATTAGTTTGTAATGTTAAGTATCATATTTCCCTGAGACCGATAACTCAGAATTAATGCATAATAAAC